CACAGGATGTGGCACATGAGAGTGAAAGTGGTCAGCTGGTACAGGCATCTGCTGAAGTTGGTTCCTATGGAGATGCCCTCAGGGCAGCTGGACACACCTATTAACAGGGAGGAGGCCAATCTTACTGTGCAAGTGATGCAGGGAACACTGGTGAGTTGGAATGGGGACATTCAAGCAGAGATGTGGAGGGAGCTCTTAATATCCATGAAAATCAGGGATCATAGAGGCTGACCTCTGACAAGTACTTCCCAAATCCTGTGAAGCATGCCTTCTTGGAGTCTAAAGGCAATGGTGACCATTTCTTCTCTCCTGAGCACCCCTGCAGGTTTTAGCCCTCCATCACCTCCAGGATGACATGATCTTCTGAGTAAGTATGTACTGTACTTTTTGGTTTAGCTCATGAAAAGCAAAATAAATACAGGCTCCTCATAACTAATCAAGCAATAGGAAAGAATAGAAGAAAAGAAAAAAATTCTTTGGGGGGAAACAAGAGGGACCAGGCAGGTATGAGGTGAAATGTGTTCATCAACACGAGGAGGCCAACATGGGCCTCTGAGGATTCTGGCTCCTTCAAGTATCTCCCAGTGTGACTCTCACATACCTGAAAATAGTCAGTTCTTCTCAGTACCCATGACAATAGAGCACAAAGCAAAGATGATAATCTCAAATCTGCCACTGTGTGGATGACTAGTATTTAGGCCTGACCTTTTCCTACTCTGCTGAGTGAAGGGAGCTTGAAGCTCTGATTAGTTATTAGAAAAAGCTGAGGTGAGTGTCATAGACTTTGAGTGACTCAGCTCCCAGCATTTCTTTATGGGCAAATGACCCACATTCATACCTTCTTATCACATAAGGATCTGCAGGTAATCCATAGTTATGGTGCTATCCAAAATGTCTAATACAAGACTATCCCTGCTGGAGCTCCTAGGAAAATGGCATCTTCAAGGATAGGCCATGAGTGGTCTGAGTATCTTTTGCATCTGCATTCTGTGTCCATTCATTAGGCCCATCCTGCCTCCAGACAATTTTACCTGTTCCCAATCCACAAAGAGACCCTGTAGTGCCCATTCTAAATCATTACAAGGGCGAGATCTCCACTTATTCCTGGGGGAAGATGAGTATTGAGTCTGAGGTCACTTGAGTCAGTGGCCTCCGAATGACCCAAAACCCTGAATGTGAATGCTGTGGTCACTGAGAAGCAAGGTTGTTGAACTCTTCTCTCTTACCGTCCTGTGCCTGCTCTAGGACCTGGGCCTCTTTGCTCATGTAGACAGCACACAGAGAGCAGGACACAGAAACTGCCCTGTCAGTCTCACAAGGCAGGGACTGAAATTTGCAAGAAGTTGACAGCAGCTCTCCTCAGGCCTCACAGGGAAGCTGACGTCTTAGAAGAAGAATTATTTTGTTTTGAAGAGAAGAGAGTTCCCTGGCTTTTGTTCAAGGCTTCCATTAATAGCTAAGACAAGAATGTGAAAGCAACTCCAATTTCTTCCTCTTCTGCAAAACTCATTGATTTCCAGGAATGTGAAAGCAAAAGGCATGTTGGCCACTAGGGGGGCTCACACTACTTGTCATTGAACATGTGAGTCAGAGAGAGAAGAGGGGGTAGAAACCATGAGAGCAGGACTGGGGCTTCCAGCGACTAGAGAGTCATTGCTCAAATCTCTGGGCAGTGCAGGGCAGTGGCTGTGAGCCTGCTTTTTCTCACATTGCACAGCCCCTGGGTTCTGTTCCCTCCACAGTGAGCGTGGGACTGGCCTAACTTTACTCTCCATTTCTGCTTCTCTTCATCCAGTTTGGAGGGAGACAAGGAAGGGAATTGGAAACTTCTCTGGACTCTCTGAAAGTAACATAATTGCTTTTTCCCCAGCCTCCTGGCATTATGCTTTGATAGGAGACCTCCTCCACTCTTTGGTGGAAATAACATACTTCTTCAGCCAGTGCTTCTGTGCCACTCTGGACTTCTATTCCTTGGTCCCCCTAATCTGTCTAATAAACCCTAGACTCCTATGTAATTAAAATCCCCCCACTACCCCAGCTCAGTCCCTTCTCCCACTGGGATATCTGCTAAAGGGACACAAATCCGTTTCTCTCCTCTTTCATGCACAAATCATCTCCATTATGAAGATGGTAGGGAGAAGTAGGCAGGAAGGGATACATTCAGGTGGCAGGTACGATCCTGCTGATGGCTGCTGTGTGGTGAATTTTGTTCACATATAGGGACCGTGTGGGTTCACATAGATGTCCTTACTGGGGTATGAGAGACAGGCACAGCCCAGACCTGCAGGCCTCATTCCCCCTTCTCATTGTGTGCACATCATGGAACCACCTAGACCTTTTTGACTGAGTTCCTTTTACCTAAGAAGATCCATATCCAGCTTTTATTATTGCAATAAGATGATTGCATTTTATTTTCTGCATGAAAGGAAAAATCAAGAGTAGTGACACTAGTTTCAAAATCCTTCAGCCACACAGGATTGCATAGCTTATTATTAACCTTTGCAGTCTCCGCCTCAAATTTCAGAAAACAGATTCACCTTTTTTTTTTTTTTCTTTTTTTTTTTTTCCGGAAATCAGAGAGTGAAAGGTACTGTGGCCTCTAGGGGCTCATACTACTTGTTGCTGAACAGATGATTCAGAGATACAGGAGTGTGTGGAAACCACTGGGGCAGGACTTGGGCTTCCAGGGAACAGAGAGTCGTATCATGCAAATATTCAGAATGTGCAGGAGCCTTCAGTAGGCAGAAATTGTTCTAAGGCCCCTGTACCAAGATACAGTGTTTGTGCAATGTCTGTGTGAGCCTGCTTTTTCTGTCTGTGCTCAGCCCCTGTGGTCTGACTTCCTCCACAGTGAGCACAGGACTAGCTGAGCTCTTCTCTCTATTCCTCATGCTCTTCACTAGGTTTGGAGGAAGAACTTGCCAGTAGGTATTAGGGGATCAATGAAGAGAACTGGAGAGGTGCCTGGACCAGCAGGATGCAACATTGTCCTTCTCTTTCAACTCTGCATTGACCTTTGCTAGAAGACTGCCTTCTATACCTGGTGGAAATATCCCAGAGTTTTCAGATCTTCTATACTATGCTCAAGATATCCAGTCTCTAATCCCACTCAGAAATTCAATGCATCTAATAAAGAACTCCAGACTCTTAGGAAATTGGAATCTTCCCCACCCCTTCCTTCACAACCTGCTCCCACTGACACACCTACAGCAGGGACTAGAGTGATCTCCCAGCTCTCATTTTAGCTACAAAGTCCTATATTATAGGTTATAGGTGCCAGAGGGGAAGGAAACTACAAAAGGCAGGAAAAGACACACTCAGGTGGGATGATTGCAGTCTTTCTGATGGTTACTGTGTGGTAAATGCTCTTTATATAAAAGAGACAAGGGATTTTCACATAGTCTTCCCATTTGGGCCCTGAGGGATAGAGATAGATCAAACCTAGATGCCGCTTAATCTCCTCCTGCCATTTTCTGAAAATTATGGAGCAACCTGACTCTGTTTTGATTGAGTTCATCTTACTGAGGAAGACCCATGTCCAGATAAACATCTTCTGCTAGTTGGCAGTTTTTTACTCACAGGTGGAATCAAGGATGGCAAAGCCAATTTTAAAACCCCTTAGCCACATCAGTGTTTATAACTCATTATCCACATTTGCAATCTTTCCCCAAAGCTCAGAAAACAGACTCAGTCTCCACCTTGTTACAGTCACAAAACTCCAGCCCTGTGGTCCCTTGCCTTACCATATACTTTCCTATTGATCCTACATTAGAATAAGGAGATGAAATCCACTGAGAAGTCAAAGGCCTGTCTAGGATCAGATGTTCATTCATGCCCCCACTGGGGACTCAGGCCTCTACCTTCTCATCCTTTCTGGTGACTCATTCAGTCTAGCACAGGTTCAAAAACCTCAGTGTAATTTGAACCTGATGATGGGGGAATTTCAGAGCCTGGTACCTAGTGCAGATTCCAAGCAATAGGGAAACTACTAATGTGCTGGGCTGAGCATTCAGGTAGCTACACTGAGCAGGAAGGAGGATGGATGGGGCACCCAGAGGGTGGAAGACAGGGTCCTGTGGACAGTGTATCTTGGTCATGGAGGTCTTATCAATATGTGGTGCTAGAGAGGAGGCTTAGGAGTTGCAGCCACGGGAAGGACTCTCCCAACAGCAAAAATAGCATGTATGAAATGTGGGGCACTCAGGAATGCAATTATCCCAGAAGCTAGGTAGGATGAACCCTGTGGATGGAACAGAAGGTTCAGGGACAGTTAGGTGGTAATCAGACCACCTTTGGTCCATGGACAATGATCAGAGTTTCATACTTTATCTGCTACCCTATCTTGCTCTGGTAATCATGGCATTTTCCCAGTCATGTTAATTAGCAGCATTAATCCCCATGGTTAGACCTGTTAGTGGTAGGCCTGCCCCTCTTAAAGTAGACATTAGCCAGGAAAGTGACAATCAATTATATGGAGTGGCAGAGTGTAAGCTGGTTATAGAGAGTCTTTCCTGAACTGTGAGAAGTCAGAGGTCAAAAAGAATCACAAATTAACAGCCAGGTATTCTGGAGTGGACAAATGCCTTGATCTGTGGGATGATCAGGGGAGCTCCATTGTAGAGAGCGATTATGCACCTGAGTTGAGTGGTATGGGAGTGAGCAAACGAAGCTAGCCAGGGACAACAACCACTAGGAGGAACTTAGCAGTTAGTACCTGCAACTGTCCAATGGGCCTGCCCTTACATCTTCCAGATGTTAACATCTCAGGGGACATGGGCTCCAGGAGGTGAGGAAGAAAGTCTAGGCCCAGAATGTCTTCATCCTGGGCTAAACTTTCATAGCCTCTGGGCAGAGCTAAGACATCCTGGGCTTGGATTTAGGCTAGAATTGAATGGTTTCTACTCCTACTGGAAGGCAAAAGTGGAAACTGAATGGCTGTATCCTGAAAATCAGTTACTTACAGGAATAGAAACTGAAATCTTACTCCACCAATGTTCCCCTCCTTGTGAAGCTGAGGCAGGCAGCCAGACTGAAATCTACAAACAGCCAAGTAGTGAGCAGGGGCAGCACAATAACTCTACTGTGAAGTGAAGAAAGAAAACCCAGGAAGACTGAACTCTCCTTTCTAGCTCCTCTCCTCTTCTTCTCTATTGGTTCTTCCTCAGAATAATTCAGCTCTCCACAAGTGACTTCTGCCTTCTGGAGCCACCTGGGACTGGCAATTGCCTCTGCCTGAGGACAGCAACCTTTCTCAAGGGAGGCAGTGATATCCCAGGAAAACTGCTGACATCTCCTCACAGCCACCCCTCTGAAGCAGGTAAGAGAAGAGATCCTAAATACAGCTTGCTAATAACTCTGCTATTAGAATGGCATTAAAGGTGGATCCTTTACACCAAGGGCAGAAGAGTTTCGGATGAGGCTTACTGCACTCAGGGTGTGTTCATAGCTCCTCTCTGACATCCTTCAGGTGCTACATAGCACTCTAATATATTTTCTTGTGCTTCCAAAACATCCAGTATGGAAGTAATATGCTTCTCTCTTACCTACATATTCCTACTGTTTTGGTTCTTCTGATATGGACCAATTTTTTTTAGGAAGAAGATGGGATATGCCCTCCACATTTTCTAGAGCCTAAGCTGGAAATGTTCCCTGTGAGGTCAGACTCCCAGGATCTGAATTAGCCACAGGCAATATCTGACAGAGCCTGAAATTATGACATCCTATGTTTTCCTTACCTGGATCATTCAGGGAATTAGTATCTGAGGTTGAATTTTGAGCATGATGTATCAGAGTGACCTTTTTGCCTGACTCAATTCAAATATTTTATCTTCATGGAGAAACTAGCTCTGTTGCTGGGCTCCAACTCATTCCTTATAGACTTTTCCTAGAGCATTCTAGGTATAGTACTGTACCCATTGATCCCAGAGAGGTTTGCCACCCTTTTCTGGAATAAATTAGCACATTGATATTTCCTTAGTCTTTCCTGATGATGATGAAATAAACAATAAAACAAGGGTTTGGACCCATATAGGATCTATGTTCAAAAACTACTTGGTGCTTCAGATCCATTCTAGTCCAGTCCACATCTCTTTGATTCCCTTTGATAAGGCTCAGAGTAGTTGAAAGAAGCTTAAACTACATAGAACCCTGCATAGGAAATTCACAAAAAGCCTTCTTTATTTATTTTTTTCAATTAAGTCATAAAATGTATTTTGTGGGTCGCAGCCAACATTAAAGTAGTGGAATAGAATTCAATAAAATACCATTCAACAGAATATAATAGAATAGACTAAAGATAAAAAAAAGTAAATCATGTGACTTGATCTTCATTCAGGTCTTTGCCTGTGATTGAACATGTGTGCACGATTATCACGTGAAATGCATCTCTTACAGTGGATTTAAGTCAGAAGAGTTTAAAGATGCTACTCACAGGGTTTTGTTCTTCTTTTTAAGCCTAGCTGTTTTTCCTCTAATTTAACCTCCTTGTTGGGCTCCCTTTGGAAGCCAGAATAGTCTGCTCCCCTTCCTTAGGTCAGAGGTATAATTTGGGATGGGCCATCGAAGAAAGGAGTATAGTCTATACTCTGATAGACTTTCTGCAAATGCCAATTTTCAGCACTGTGAGCCCCAAAGTCTTAAAGCTGTCCCATACTAACCCTCAATACTGACTCTCCCTGGAGGATCCTGCAACCTCACCCAGAGTTATCCAGGTCTTTCCCTGGTCTCTTTGATACATGGACCTCAGCAGAGCACTGTTTACAAAGGCCCTTGGTACTTGATCTCATCTGGGTCTACTATACAGTTGTGACCAGCATCAGGGTGCAGGGCAATGGACCAGGGAATCAGGCATTGAGGGCAAATAATCTGGATGTTGGGTCCAGAGCTATAGGGTCATAGATACCTTTTCTCACAGAGCACAGCAGTAAGTGCTCAGTTGAGGAGACAGGTTGGAAGTGCCTTACTTAAGTGAGATTTGGTTACATAAATATTCTCAAAAAGTGTAGGAGTAATGCCTACTTCTCCCATCCTTGTTATACAGGTCAATACCTTGTCTCAGCCCCTCCCCATAGGAGAGCAATTGCCAGAGGTGTGTGGGGAACAGGCTTTAGTTCTTCAGGTGACAGATTTAAAGAAGGAGAATTAATTGTCCTGTCAATTAGTAATGAGAGATTTATAAAATATATTTCTTTTCATTAGATAGAAATGGATCAAATATCTAGTAGGTACCAGAGGCATTGGGTAAATAATCTAGAGGAATTATTTTATTGGAAGTGACAAGTATGTATTAGTATGATAATAAGCATGAACTGATACTTCCCAAATCTTCTTTTTTCAATTCCAATTTATCATTATTATTTTATTGTGGGAAAACAGAACCCACTCAATCAGGATTTAAGAACTATATTCACTCTCTTGGGCTTCCATCTCTTAGGTCTTGGGAAGAGGTATGGTGACTTTCAAGGTAGAAAATACTATTGGAGGAGATGATCTACTCTTCATTTCCCTAAGTATTAATGTTCTCTAAAAAGACATTTTTCAGTTGATGAAGGCAGAGTCCAAATAAAGAAAGCCCCACTCTGGTTTCTGGAAGCAGATTTTGCTCTGTGTCATTCCCTGACCTCTGATGAGTCCCGAATCCTGATCATATATCTGTGTGTAAAGGTTGTTCTTTTGTTCTGTCTCATTAATGCCTCTTGAAATCGTCTTCCCTACTTGGTAGGGATTTTTAGGAATTCTCTAGATCCTCTGCTGCTGTAGCACAAAAGCAGCCAGAGACTACGTGTAAGCAAATGGGAATGATTGTATCCCCAGTTTTACTGGTGAACACTGAAGTCTGAATTTCACATATTTTAAATTTGTCACAAAATATTGTTCTTCTTTTGATTTTTTCCCAGTCATTTAAAAATGCAAAGCCTATTCAGGGATATGGTCCATTACCTGTCTTAGTCCATTTTCCATTGCTCTAATGGAGAATATCTGAGATTGGGCAATTTATAAGGAAAAGAGATTTAGTTGGCTCACTGTTCTGTAGTCTGGGAAATTCAAGATCAGATAGCCACATCTGGTGTGCCACTTCTTGTTGGTGGGGAGTCTCTGCAGTCTCAATGAGGTAGAAGACATCACATGGTGGGAGAGACACCTACTTTCAACCAAGTTGAAATACCAGGTTCTTTCACTTGATCTATCAGGAGAGAATTCAAAGTGATATAGATCCATATATAAGGTTTGATCATTTGTAGACCAATCAGGGGGAATGATTCAGGGGATGCTCATTTCTTTCCATCCTTTCTGGATTACTAGCCCCAAAGGATCCCTAACATTAATATTAAGACTTTCTAAGATCCCTAATCTAAGATCTACAGAGCCTGATCCAGGGACAGAAAATTCCTTGCACACAACCTGGAACTCACACAGAATATTTTTTCCCTGGGTTCATGACTGTGGTGAGGTCTGTAATGGACACCTAGTATCTCTCTGATTATTTCATTAGGTACCTCCCTCTCCTAAACCTCCTAGAATAGGCTCCAATTAGTGGGTACACTGTTGGAATTTCCTTTACAATTATATATCAATGATGGTATGATAGGAAGAGACAGAAGCTAATTTCTATTCTCTCCCAAAATTGTTAAAGGTGAATTTAAGTAGTTGTAAATGCAATTGATTGTTATAACCAAATCAGTGTCCTCAAGGGAAGTACCTCAGCATCAATAATCATTATCTCAGGGAGCTAGATTTCTATTAAATATGATTATCTTTGCCAGACAGAAAAATAGAATCACATTCAGAAGTTCAATTTTTGAATCCCTCACACACCTTCTATGTAATTCAAGATTTGTTATTTATTTATAATTCTCTGTTTCTTCAAACATAATCAAGGTTGAAGATTAGGATTTGAGGAAGATTAAATGAGACAAGGCATGAAAAAGACTCAGCACTGACAGATTCACAAATATATCGCTTTCATACTGTGCGATTAAAGTTGGAGGGAGGAAAAAGAACCAGAGGAAGTCTTTATCAGAGACTATAAGACAACCAAAGAGCCTTCACCAAGAGGACTCTAACATACTGTGGATCCTGCTATGAAATATTCACATGAATCCTGGGAGCAGGTAGCATGATTTCCTCAAAGCACAAGTCAGAAAACTGGGATTTTAGGAACTTGTCTATGTTGCAAAGATCTGAGCTGATCCTCAAGGGATTCTCAGATTATTTCATCCATGGGGAAGGTGCATGTAGACCTTGGAGCTAGAAAATCAGCAGCTAGAAGAATATGGAGAGTATTGTTGTGCTGCAGGTAGGGACTACCCCAGGAGAAGAGCAAGGACAGTGGTGTCTTCAGGAAAGTTGTGAAGAGCAAGATACAGCACCATGAAACCTACATGTGTTCATGTTATGAAATTTATCCTACTGAAAGCATAGCAGGCCTTCTGGGACAGAAACCTGACTACACCAGTTGTGAGTACCATATAGGACCTCAGAAGCTTCAGGGGACCCCATTGGTGGGCCAGCTAGGGAGCACCTTATAGGTCAGGAAGATTCTATGAGACACAAAAAAGCAACTCTGCAGCTAAAGAAATGGTCTTGAATTTCAAAAAATTCATATTCATGCACAAAGAGGTGATTAAGTACTTTTAAGAAAAGTACCATAGCAATCACAGATAAATGTAGGATTATGAAAGTCCATCAGCCAAGAAAAGTCTATGTGTTACAATCTTGAGTCGAATCCACTGGATAATTCCAACTAATTGTCTTTATAATCCTGTTCCACAAATGCTTTCAATCTCATTGCAAGAATTAAGCTAATAAGAGAAACATGTTCATATAACGTCTTGAATATGTATATGAATAACACTATCAACAGTTATACATAGAAATATAAAAATTTAAGTGCTGACTTAAAATCAGTAGATTATTCATAAAGTTGTTCTGACTTGTCTGTTGAAGCTGTAGTTATTGGTGAACATCATCCCAGTTTTTTAAGAAACACAATACTGCCAGAAAAAGAAAAAAAATCACTTTTAATAGGATTATTAACAATAATTGAACTGTTCTTGATGAAAAAAGATAACCCCAGGGAGGACTAGCACATTTTTATCAGTGAATTACTCACTATGGAAAGCTGGTCTTACCAGCATTTCCAGTCTCTTCCCACAAAATGGGGCAGAAAAACAATGTGTGCTCCCACCTCAGTGACTTGCCTGACATTCTGCTGCTCAAGTTCATTGGGTCACAGTCCTGATTTGGGGCTAACCATTGACACATAAGCCCCAAACAATCTTAGGAACACCATAATCCCTAAGAATGTGTAAATTTCCTTAATGAATACTTTGCTTGCTCTGTTTGTAATTGAAATTCTTTGCTATCTCTTTTGTTGTATATCTGAAACCCTGGGAATGAGATGTGAACTCTCTTGATTCCTGTGTCACACTGTGTCTAACTCCCTCTATTCTATTTCTGCAGGTGGCTCCACTACTCACAAATATGGCAAAAACCCCCATGTCCTGTTACACTCCATTGTCTACATCCTTCACTTCTGTTGTGTCATACCATTCAGGCTGGAACATTTTAACTGAAGAGATGAGCAGAAATATTGAGAAGTCCTTGAAAGAAGGAAAGCTGTTGGAAGTGGTCTGTGTGTTCAGGAGGACTGTAGAGACAGTGTCCAGAACCCAAGTAAACATTGCTGTGACTGGGGAGTCAGGCAATGGTATGTCATCCTTCATCAATGCATTGCGAGTCCTGGGACATGAGGAGAAGGCCTCAGCTCCCATTGGGGTGGTGACAACCACCCAGACAAGAGGAAGCTATTCTTCTTTCCACTTTCCCAATGTGGTGCTGTGGGACCTGCCTGGCTTGGGGACTACTGCTCAAAGTCTGGAGAGCTATCTGAATGAGATGCAGTTCAGCCAATATGACCTCTTTATCATCATTGCATCTGAGCAGTTCAGCATGAATCATGTAAAGCTTGCCAAAGCCATTGAGGGGATGGGAAAGAGGTTCTATGTTGTCTGGACTAAGCTGGACAGGGATTTCAGCACAAGTGCTCTCTCAAATGAAAAGATATTGCAGAATATACAAGAGAATATCAAGGAAAATCTTCAGAAGGAGGGTGTGTGGGAACCCCCCATATTCCTTGTATCTAACCTTGACCCTTTATTGCATGACTTCCCAAAGCTTAGGAATACATTGAAAATAGACCTCTCTAACATCAGGTGCCATGGTCCCTTAGTCATGCTTTCCCACATTTGTGAGAAGATCATTAATGATAAAGTGAACTCCTTGAAGGGGAGATTATCCACAGAGCATGTGGAAGATATTCTTGGCATCAGGGATGCTGATGACTTGGGGAAGTGTCTGGAAGCCTACCGATTGCTCTTTGGTGTGGATGATGCATCACTTCAGCAGGTGGCTCATAGTATGGGGACATGGGCTTTTGAGTACATGACCATCAGGAAGTCCCAGGATTTGCACACTCTCTGTGGAGGTGACTGGAAAATGAAATTCATGACTTGCTTAATCATGAGGGCATTCCTAACACTTTTTAGATATATACCATTCTTAGGTAATCCTGTCATCCACCACTTCAGATTCATGAGACATAGGCGCATCCTTGAGTTAGTTGCTCAGGACACCAAGAACATCCTGATGAAGATTCTGAAAGAATGTATGCTCTCCACCTGATATCAATTTTGGGAATAGTCTAGCTAGCTGGCTCATTCTTAGGTAGAATTAGCTTGCTTTAGGATACCAAGAGAATCTTTGAAAGGAGTTAAGAAAATCACTTATCTTCCTTTCTCTAATCCTAATATATTCTTCTTTTGAGGAACAAGTATTGTTGAAATCATTAATGAAGTTTCCTGGGTTCAGTATATAGAAATTTTGATAGTAATTGTTAATGGTGATATAGATCTAAATTAATCTGTTTTTCCACTAAAGCCTTAAAGTTAATGAGTGAAAATTGTGGGGTAAGCATTCTACCAGAAACTCCCCAGAATGTAAAAAGTAAATGTATTTTCAGGGGAAATAGAGAAACTGCATACTTGATGTCCAGGGATATGTAGCAATGGAAATGAAATCACATTCTAGGTTATGTGGAAGCAACCAGACTAGTCTTACATGTGTTAATGAAAAAGAAACTCAAGCAAGATCAGAATGCTGGCATCAGAAGAAATTTTTCATATTTTGTATAAAATTAACAACTCAATTTGAAAAACACTTTAATTCAATGAGTCAAACATGGAAATTTTAAGTATAGGTTAAATATTTAAGAGATGTTGAGATGGAATAAACTTTTCTGACACAGAATTTTTGGAGATAAACATGCAGTCCTAAGTTATAATATGAATGAAATGAGACAAATTGAGTTATGTGGTACTCACAGCAAACTATAAAGGTACAATGGTATGAGGATGGCCTTAGGCCTGAGCCTAAGCAACTCCATTTTAAAAACTCCAGTTTGAAACCTGCAGTCTCACCAGACATGCCTAATGGAGCCCTCCAGTATGGCTCTCAGGCACAAATAAGTCATTTCTCCCCACCCTGATAAACTCAAGTGAAGCCTCTGGCAGGCTGTCTTTGCCCAATAAGAGGGAAAAGAGATGAATAAGAGAGAAAGGTGAAAAGATCAGGATGGGGACCACCAGATGAGATGTTTTAACCCCAGGGTAAATGATGTCACTGAGAGATTCAGTGGCAGCAGATAAGGGGTCAAAAGCCCCCAAATTTAGTATAAATAATAGAGCGAGTGAACAGATAATAATGACAATAATTCTCTCACGCTGAGAGCCTGATAAGGACCTGGACTGACATCCCAACACTTTTCTTCATTTGCTGATCCTCTGCATTTTCCTCACCACTCTCAAACTCTACAGCCACATATTGACCCTGGTGAGAGCCACAACTTCTCTCTAGACCCTCTCCTTAGCTGGCTGTCAGCTCCACCCCAGGAGAAGTCTGCCTTTGTTCCTGACTTGGGTGAGTGTGCATCTGCTGGACTTAAAGCCTAAGGTTTGAGACTTTAAATCTGACACTTGAACTTGGCATGCAGAGGGAATGTCTGTCATTATCCTGTCATGATTAAGTGTGTTTGCAGTGCTTAGAATTAATCTAGAATTGTTAGCTGTGAATTGATGATGTCTATTGCAGTGCCTAGCATTAAGAATTATCATTGTCTTGCTTAAGAACCTATAGAATAAAAATTGTATTGAGTGATTTGAGTGAATAAAGCATTTACTAGGGCAGAAGTGCGTGGACATTCTTTATTTCCCCCCCTGGGACTACATAAGTCACACCTTTTGACCACTGTGACAAATGGGGGCTGGAGTTTTAGCTCAGTGGCAGAGTGCTTGCATCGCACACGTGAAACACTGGGTTCGATTTTCAGCACCAAATAAAAATAAATAAACAAAATAAAGATGTGTTCCTCTATAACTAAAAAGAAATTTATAAAAAAGGTACAATAGACTAACATCACTCAGTGAGTTCAGAGTCCATTGTTAGTTGGCACAATGAAGTGGAGAGAAGTGATGGAAACAGGCTTCATCTCAGTATTCATGTCTCCTCAGCCTTCCTTTCTCTCAACTTCCTTTTTAATTACAAGTCTCAGGATAATCTTTTTTAAAGATATATGTTATTCTCATGCAGAAGGCAGTTTGAGTGATTTCATTCTAAATATTTTTCATACATTCTGAAAGTACTGAAGGCAGAAACTATTTTCATTACCACCACTTTCTCTGGTGCAGACATGCTGGGAATATCAATCAGAAGCTTGTCTATCATATGTAGGTAAATGTGGAGGTCTTAGAAAAAGTTTCACTACAATCTCAGTAGAAGGTGAAACACTTTTGCTCCACAGCTCAGAACATCTGTTTCTCACAATCTCCAACTGGTGATGCTAGAAACACAGTGCCAACGTTTATTCTTTTAGATTTCTTGATTCAATTTAATTTTTAGAAGGCATGCTAATTTTCTCTATCACTAAACTCGTGTAAGTTTTTGCCATAAATTTAATAGTGAAAATGGTACTCAGTATGCTGTAATATTGTGCCTTTTTGAGAAGTTGACTATTTGATTGATCCTCTCAACTTTGTAGAAAGAGGGAAAGGAGAAAAAATTCTGAGGTCTGTGAGTCACAAAATATCTCTCTGGTTCAATCCAGTGATAGGGCTTATTTTCATATAAGTTTGCATTTATCTTGCTCCCAGGGTAAGGCCTGGGACTGGAACCTCATCTCTCAGAGCATGCTCATGGTCTTAGGGGGCCACTCTTGCACCCAACCTGTGTTGAGGGATGATGTGAAGGGATTATGATAGGGACTTTGTGAGTGGCCTGTGGGACCAGCTAGCTGGATGCCTCTCTGACTCATCCATTTAGGCCAAGAATTTCTGTAGGGCTGGTCATGGGGTTATCAGGATGAGAAGGAGAGTTTTATGGTTTGAGTGACAAAGAAATTGAGTTATCTCTTTGGAGCCCTTGTCAATCTCATCTAAAATGATTCTTCTAACTGAATGGGGGGAAAGCCAAAGTACCAAATTAGAAGAAGAACCTATTGAGAATCTGGCTGTATTCTGGTAACCACTCTTCAACTCAGTTATATTGTAACAAATTATCTCAGTACAGGTTACACAATATAAATATTTTCTCACATTTCTAGATGCTTAAAGTTGCAGGATCAAACTGCTGGCAGGGTTGATTTCTCTTGAGGACTCTAAGCCATTTTTTAACATGGTCACCTTCTTACTGTGTGCTCACCTGTCCTCTCCTCTGTGTTTTTAGTCTTTAAATACTTTCTTTGGTTTAAAAGGACCAAGATTGTATATTCCATTTAACCTCAATTACCTCTTTAAAGGCCCTATCTCACATTTATGGTCAGTGCTTGAACTTATAAATTGTGGGGCAGCATAATTAGATGAGAAGAAAAAAATCTAAAAATACCTTTTAGTACTAGTTGTCCTTATGTAGAAGAGAATCATGTGTCTGTTAACATAGAATTGTGTCTCTGAGAAGACTGGAATATTGTTGTGAAGTACATGGAAAGACCTGGAGGGAACATCTAGTAGCTCAATGAAACCTTAAAATGTATGATCCAGGAAGTTGCTGCAAATACAAATGTGTTCTGACAGTTTTTTAACCTGTTGAGGCAGAAATGGAGGTCATAGTCACCAAGTCATAAGTGTACATTTGAGGCATAAGAGATAGGTCAGTTCTATATAAACCTGAAATACTAATGGAAATGAAAAAAATATATTAAGGACAAGAGATCTTAGGCTAGTTTGTTTTGCAACACATTATTTTCCTTTTGTGCAATATTTAAACCAAAACTCAAACCCATACAACAACAAAAAGACATGTTGAAGCAATTTCACTCCTTGGTGGCTTGCAGAATTTTATACACAGATGAATACAAAGAAATGTGCATGGATGTTAATAGCAGCACTGATGTTAAGTGGGAATAAAATATTGTAAAGAGCTCCAAACTGAAATGTTCATTGATAGGAAATTCATAAATGAAATGTTATATATTCACAAAGTGGAAAACATGTCATAGAAATGATTGTAAATAAAAATAAATTAAAAATATATACACACAAAATCTGAGGCTATAGCCTCAAAATGTTTTTGAAAAAGACTCTTTAACTATGAGTTAAAAGAAAACAAAATAAATTTGATTTTGTTGAATTTGTTTACTATGATTCTTTTGTGAATTCACTAATAGTTAAATGACATCTTTACAAATAGAAATTATGGTTTTATTATCATTTCTTGAACAGAAATGTCTCAAACACCACCTTCCATTTATTTGTTCTTCTTTATTAATTTTAATATATAATAATGTAGAATTTATAGCCTTAACAAAACTTACTGCATGAGATGATACTGTCAATCAAAAGGGAGGGACCATTTGTTGTGAAGGATAATGTAGGCTTTGTGAAGCTTTTATGGATTTAAAATAGTTAAGGACAATGAATGAACTTGAGAAACTGACAGGTGGATTCTTTTTTTTCAATTTTTCTTCATTTATTAAAAGGACCATATTTTTATAATTTTAAGGTATTAAATTACTTTTTATGAGTTTTATTTTTGTATTTGTTTTAATTAGTTACACATGACAGTACAATGATCTTGACATATCATACATTTGAATCAGATGGGATACAAATTTCTCATTTTTCTGAGTGTACATGTTATAGAATCACATTGGTCATGCAGTCACGTATATACCCACAGCAATAATAATGTCTATTTTATTCTGCTGACCTTCCATTTTCCCCTTCCCATCCCCTCCCCTCCCCTCCCATTACTTCTCTCTACCTATTCTAATGTGACACACTTCTTTTTATTTTTCCCTCACATCGTCATACATGTATTCTGTATAATGATGAGGGTCTCCTTCCATCTTCCATGCAATTCCCCTTCTCCCTTCCTTTCCCTTCCACCTCTCTTCCCTATCTAGAGGTAATCTTCTTCTCATGATCTTCCTCCCTATCCCATTTTGAGTCACTCCTCTTATATCAGAGAAGGCATTCAGCATTATTTTTTGGGGGGGATTGGCTAACTTCACTTAACATATTCTGCCCTAATGCCATCCATTTCCCTGAAAATGCCATGATCTTGTTATTTTTAGTGCTGAGTAATATTCCATTGAGTATAAATGCCACATTTTTTTATCCATTCATCCATTGAAGGGCATCTAGGTTGGTTCCACAGTCTAGCTATAGTGAATTGTGCTGCTATAAACATTGATGTGGCTGTGTCCCTGTAGTATGCCATTTTTAGGTCTTTTGGGTATAGTCTGAGAAGAGGAATAGCTGGGTCAAATGGTGGTTCCATTCCCAGTTTTCCAAGGAATCTCCAAACTGCTTTCCAAATTGGCTGCACCAATTTGCAGTCTCACCACCAATGTATGAGTATACCTTTTTCCCTGCACCCTGGCCAAAACTTGCTGTTGTTTGACTTCAAAATGGCTGCAATTCTTTTTTTTTTAATTTTTAAATTGTTGGTTGTTCAAAACATTACATAGTTCTTGATATACCATATTTCACACCTTGATTCAAGTGGGTTATGAACTCCCATTTTTCCCCCGTACACAAATTGCAGAATCACATCAGTTACACATCCATTGATTTACATATTGCCATACTAGTGTCTGTTGTGTTCTGCTGCCTTTCCTATCCTCTACTATCCCCCCTCCCCTCCCCTACCCTCTTCTCTCTCTACCCCTTCTACTGTCATTCATTTCTCCCCCTTGTATTATTTTCCCCTTTCCCCTCACTTCCTCTTGTATGAAATTTTGTATAACCCTGAGGGTCTCCTTCCATTTCCATGCAATTTCCCTTCTCTCTCCCTTTCCCTCCCACCTCTCATCCCAGGTTAATGTTAATCTTCTTCTCATGCTCTTCATCCCTACTCTGTTCTTAGTTACTCTCCTTATATCAAAGAAGACATTTGGCATTTTTTTTAGGGATTGGCTAGCTTCACTTAGCATAATCTGCTCTAATGCCATCCATTTCCCTGCAAATTCTATGATTTTGTCATTTTTTAATGCAGAGTAATACTCCATTGTGTATAAATGCCACATTTTTTTTATCCATTCGTCTATTGAAGGGCACCTAGGTTGGTTCCACAGTCTTGCTATTGTGAATTGTGCTGCTATGAACATCGATGTAGCAGTGTCCCTGTAGCATGCTCTTTTTAGGTCTTTAGGGAATAGACCTAGAAGGGGAATAGCTGGGTCAAATGGTGGCTCCATTCCCAGCTTTCCAAGAAATCTCCATACTGCTTTCCAAATGGGCTGCACCAATTTGCAGTCCCACCAGCAATGTACAAGTGTACCCTTTTCCCCACATCCTCACCAGCACTTGCTGTTGTTTGACTTCATAATGGCTGCCAATCTTACTGGAGTGAGATGGTATCTTAGGGTGGTTTTGATTTGCATTTCTCTGACTGCTAGAGATGGTGAGCATTTTTTCATTTATTTGTTGATTGATTGTATATCCTCTTCTGAGAATGGTCCTTGGCCCATTTGTTGATTGGGTTATTTGTTTTTTTTTTTGTTGTTTAACTTTTTGAGTTCTTTGTATACTCTAGAGATTAGAGCTCTATCTGATGTGTGAGGGGTTAAAATTTGTTCCCAGGATGTAGGCTCCCTATTCACCTCACATATTATTTCTCTTGCTGAGAAAAAACTTTTTAGTTTGAATTCGTCCCATTTGTTGATTCTTGGTTTTAACTCTTGTGCTATAGG